ATTCGTAATGTTGATTTGTAATGTTGATTTTATATTATCTACGTATCAGGACCATTTATGTTTGATACAAACGTTATACCCACGTGTTTCTGGTTTTTAACATTCTAAACTTCAAATTACGAGGTAATAAAGTCTGATTCATCTTTTAAAGAAAATATTACCGCTTCTGTTTTATCAGGGTTTCATTTGATTAAGCTGCGTGTTGCGAAATTACATAATTTGCTCAGATGTCAATTTTTCGTTGATTCAACTAGTTGATTATCTGGTGAGGAAGCTCCGTGTGCTGTATCGCCAGCAAAGAGTCTTGTTATGCAATCTAATTCATCAATATTGCCGTTAACATATAAAATGAATAACAAGGGATTTAATACCGATCCCTGTGGAACGCCAGTCTTTAAATTCCTTGGCTTAAATAAGGCCCCGCTTACAAACACTAATTGAGTACGACTGCTTATGTAACTTGACAACCTATGAAGTAGATTCCCTCCAATACCATACATTTCCAATTTGTGCACGAGCCCTCTACGCGAGACGAGATTAAGTGCTTTTGACACGTAACAAAAAACATGTACTATATTTGTTTATTATCGAGAGATATACAAATTTGATTATACAATTTTATTAATTGATTGACAGTAGAATGGCCATTTTGAAGGCCTGACTGGTATTTATATAACAATTTATGATCATAAAAATAGTTATGTCGATGCTTAAATATAACTCTCTCAAACACTTTACCAATACAGCTAATGATACTACTTAAGTTTTTTCCTTTCTCATAGAAGGGCATAACATGCGCTCTTTTCCATTCTGATGGATAAGCATTGTAAGTCCATTAATGATTGAACGGCAAACATAAAACAATACAAATGCTGTTCACTGTTTTCTTTAATATGTTATTTCTTATTCTGTCTGGAGCAGATGCTTTATTCATTTGAAGGCATTTTATTACATCAGATATTTCATTTTCTGCGAGAGTACCTCTTAGTATGTTTTTTTTAAAATATGGTAATTTTTTGCGCCCTTTAATTACGGCAGATGTTCATTTGATGTGTCTGATTTCTCTAAATCTGAAAATTTAGAGGGATTGTTATCCGTATCTTGTTCTTTATTTGGGGTATGTACGAAGATGTTCCTTACTATTTGCAATATGATTGTTTATTTACTGTATGTAGTTCCGAAAGAAATTCATAGATGTTATAAAAGAAATTTCCTTCAGCACAACTTTTCATGCTGTTGACTTTATTGCGTTGTTTTCTACAGTCTGTATTACTTCTTCTTGTTTCTTTCGTAATTTTTTTCGGATTAAGTTCTTTGTCCCCTGCGAGCCCTATTAACAATAGGAGTACGAGAAATAAAGGCAGACAGCCATATTATTTATTCTATCCTGCCTCAAAAATAAATTGCATACGGAACATATTAAAATATACATATTGAGGTATTGCAGTACCGGCCTGTTTCTGCAGGTACAGGGGCTACCCTTTCTGCTTTGAGTACACATTATTGTCTCGTTAAATCTTCTTTATATGTCTTGAAAATGATTTTCTGTACAGTAGATAAATAATTTTTAATACCGAGTCCGTTGGAAACATGAAACACTTCAGGGAGGTTTATAGCGTAACTGTCAGCAATCTCAAGAGGTACATTTTAACATTTTAAAACACAGTTTGTTCTTGGTGTTGCCATACGTCTACAGTGAGGAATTTTTGTTGACTATCACCAGTCATTCTAAGAGCGCATTTAGGTCCGCTTCATTTTCCGCTGGCATTACTAAGTCGTCTGCATAGGCCAATACCCAGCGTTTCTCACCGTCGATCCTCTCACCTATAACCAATCTATTTAATGTAGTAAAGAGTTCGTTTATGTATCGTCGATCCTCTCACCTGTATCCAATCCATTTAATGTAGTAATAAGATCGTTTATGTACCGTCGATCCTCTCACCTATATCCAATCCATTTAATGTAGTAATGAGATCGTTTATGTACCATCGATCCTCTCACCTGTATCCAATCCATTTAATGTAGTAATAATATCGTTTATGTACCGTCGATCCTCTCACATATATCCAATCCATATAATGTAGTAATGAGATCGTTTATGTATATGTTGAACAATAAAGGGGAAAGTAAGAATCCTTGCTGCAAATCCCATCTCATATTGAACAACTGAGTAAAATCCCCTCCCAACATTTAACACTCGTATATCAAGATATAATAGCCTCATACATACGTCCACATATCCCAAGGTTTGATAACTTCTTTCACAGAATAGCCCTTCAATTGTATCTTAAGCCCTTTGAAGTCAATAAAGGTTAAATAAGCTGGTTTCTTTGATTCCACTATAGATGTTAATGATGAAATGTGTTCCACTGTCGACCTTTCTTTTCCTTATTCGTCAGATAAAAAGTTATTGTTCTCAGCATACTTATACAGCCTCTTATTCAACACAGAACAATAAAGTTTATTGCTCGAGTTAGTTAGGATAAAGGTTCATATTTATAAACGCATGATGATTTCGGGATAGGTTTAATACTCGTCTTCATCCATTCGCTCGGCACTTTTCCATTTGAAAAATACATATGAAAAAGTATGACTTTGTATTCTTCATCACACCTGGTGGTGATCCTGATACTTTCCGTTTTTCGCTCACAGTTCTGTATTCTCTGCACTTGCATTGAGTTGCTTTCCCCCTCCTTTGGCCCTCTCGGGTCGACATCATTGCTCAATTCTGTGATTGGATCAGGAATTTGGCTCTAACTGAATCACCGAAGTATACTCTTACACTGTTTATATAAATAGAACGTGTAATATACTTTAGATAGTCTTTGCGTCTTCATACATCGATTAAGATTGCAATACATTCTTCAATTACTGTGTGACTGTTAGCACTCTATGTGTCAGAGATTCTAATACCCGTTGGGCTTTGCTGTTGTCATGGCGTGGCATGCTCCGAATTGATCTCCCAATGACAATTTGAGGGAGTCTTGTCCTCGTATTCTTCTTCTGTCTATTTGTTGACAGCGGTGCATGAGCATGGTCGCCGAGCATGCAGACGATTTCCTATCGCTGTTTAGTGACGTGCGTGTTCTGAAAAGTCAAAATCACGTGCACACAGGAATTGGATAGTCCACGTTCACTGTTTCCTGAGTGTTTGGGCATTGGATGGTTCTCTGGCAGTCATTTTTCAAAGCTGTTACTTCGTCTAACGACCGATCATAACATATATTTTCCATATCCTTTACTTTTTAGGAGAGTATATTTAAACACATTGGATCCGTTCGTCGTTATTTCCTTCATCTCCTCTACAACCACAATGCTTCGCATGAAACCTATGATTTCATATATTTACTGTAACTTTATTTCTGATGATTGTAAGTGAAAGCACATTGATTGAGGTGCTCGAACAAAATATCAAGCTTAAGTAGTGATTTTGACAGCTAGTAGTTTGGAGCTGTGGTTTTTTAACTTGTTTATATTCCAAACTCAATCCTAGTGCTTGACACCTTCGTTACCATACAGATATAGAGAGCACCGTTGTGATGACCTTGGTTACAGTTGTCGATCCTCCATGATTCGAGACGCTTGGTGCTAGTAGTTTCTAGAAGTATGGCGGAACCTATATAACGAGGGTGATACTAGGCCTCTTTCTACGACCTGACCTGTGAATTATCTACTTGCCATGAGTGAACGGGATACCTATCGGGAAACATCGACGCTTTTCCTGCTTCCAAAACGATTTCCTGGATTCAAGAACAGAACACGTGCTTGTTCAAGATATTCAATTGTGACACATTCTGGACATTCGTGAGTGCACCGACTGATTTAATAGGGCCTATTGTATATTGCTGCTGCCACATGTTGGACACATGGTATTGCCTGTTATGAATTGTAAACCTGGTCCTGTGTGTTACAATATAATTTGTTTATTATTCATTGATCATGTGTGGTTATTTACTGACTTCAGTTAGTTCTCTTCACATCAATTTCTGGGTTAAACTTCGCGTTTCAACTTATATTAACATTATAATTCTGGAATATATGTTTCAGTATGCCCAATAATATTTTTGCGGTGTGTTGTCATATTTGAAACAGCGTCTTTATGACACAAAAGAGTATAATATGGAAGATCAATTGTAGCGACTGGTTTAATCAAGGAATTACGAACAGTGTTAATGTATTGACGCCACCAATGCAGATATGGCGCAGTTAACGTCGATGTTAAATGCCTACATATGGGTGGTGGGAAAGCCTGTGGTTAAAGCGTTTGCACGTCACGCGAAAGTCTCTGGTTTGATTCCCAACATACAATGTGGGAAGCCCATTTCTGATGCCCTAGTCGTGATATTGCTGGAATGTTGCTGAACGCAATATAAAACCCAATCCACTCACTCATGCATTCTAAAAATAAAATCTTGAGGCAGAAGTAACTGTAAAATGCGTAGTTGGTGGTAAATTCGTCGAAGAATACAATAGAAATGAACACATATTTTACCAGAAACAGCATCTCGATCCTCGTTTCAATGTCCGCTTTAGCAGCAAAATTCTTATTTCAATTTGACGCCGAATAACAATGTTGCAGTCGTAACGTATTGTCTGCTGTTATTTAATCCCTTTTGATTATTTCTTTGTTTTTTACCTTTGAATAGTTGTTTTAGTTCACAACTACCCACAATTAATATATCCTGTCTTAACACGACACGCTTCAAACATTCGCCGTGGAGAGATGCGTCCATTGCGAGTGCCAGAAACCTATCATAATGTGTTCGGATCCCAGGTGCGACTATATTACGTTTCTCTGTTTGTCAGCACAAACCCGCAATGAGGTAAACATATAAGACATGCAGCGCCTCGGCCTTGTCTCTAACATCAAGCTGACACGCCTTGATATAACTGAAATATTGTTCTCGGTGGCATGCACACTCACCCAATACATCTCTCACCAAACATGAAGCTCATTTCTGAATCCTTTTCATAAACAAACACAAAAACAGAACAAAGTGTGAATTAGCCATCCTTTTATTTTGAAGCATTTTGTGACAAGCATTCAAGAATCTGTCATCAACCATACCAACAATTAGTACTTCCATAGCAACAGTTTTCAACAGTCCGTGGTTAGGGGATATTTTGTACAAAAACATCGATATTTAGACATGCACTTTTTTTCCGGATGGAAAATGAAGAAAAGCATCGTACAGTGTCAAAACATGGAATTGGAAAACAGACATAAACGAACAAAGGGGACACATTTCAGCACTAGCAAGGCTTCACACATTGCTGTCTATGTGGGGATTCAAACCCGGCCAGACTGCATGTCAAGCAAGCGCTTTAACTGCTAGACTTCCACACCAATCCCATAAATGAAATAACACCTAATTTGCATGTGAGAAAATTTCATATACAACTTAGATGTTTTCCTATACTCTAATTACGTATTTTCTATGATTTCACCGCAGGCATCGTCATCTGGTTTCAATCGTAAAACCTATTCAGAAGCTCATTGGTACGTTTGCAGTTTATATGTATATGTGTTTCATTTATTAAGTTTAATTAGGTTTTGACGTATGTGAGCATCAAAGAAAAGACCTTTGTAACTATTCTTGCTATTTATATTTTGAAATGGGTACGGACGGACATATAAAACTGCAAAGCCAGAGAATATCCAATCTCTATTATTCAACGAACTGATTCCATTGGGTGTAAAAGGAAAAATAGCGGTGAAAAATATAAGAATGGATCACTGAAAAACATTGATGACAGAAATGCTTGACGCTGTAAACTAGAATATATATATTTGACCAAATATGAGTATCATTATTTTTGTCTTAAATGTGAGGACATGCGACGTTTGTCCAATTCAAATGTCAGTGTAAAGCACCGATGCTTGACCATTTTATTAGTGTTAGGAATGCCAGCAATATAAGTAGTTTATACAAACTGTCAAACTATAATTTTAATGTTCTACAGCCTCGGAACAGTTTAATATTCACGTATTCATACATATTGGATACATGGAGCTGTTTTATACCTTCTTATTGCAGTGTGTTGTGATGGCTGGAAATATCAATCCGTGCTTCATAATTGTGTTCTGTAGACCATTACACCGAATAAACCAAATCTCTCAAAGGTAACTTCCATAATAGATCCACCCGGTAGGGATTCTGGGTTGGGTCACCAGCAACATAAAGTATGCTGGCCGTAAGAGGCGACCAAATGGACAGGGTGGTCAAGTTCGGTGACTGGGTTGAAGGCGTGTCATCGTACCCCGACCGGGTATATCATTGCTTAAAGTGTCACTAGATTGTCTGGTCCAGACTTACCTACGTATAAGCACCCGTCATTTAGCTGGAAAACTGCTAAATAAAGCTCGAAACAACAAACAAATATCATCCGCGAAGAATGAGATTGTAAAGATTGGCCTGCAGGTTGTATAGATACTTGTCTTAAACGAGTCTAGTTCAAGCTTAGTATTTAGCCTATCGCCTACTCGGATATAGATCGACTGTATAAGGTCACTGGATAGTAATGCACCCATGTATAAATATGTCAATAGTCTTGAGACTTCCAGCAATGCAGCCACTTTAGACAAACTGTTATATTTATCTTTAATTCTTTACTTATTGATATCAATCTGTGTTTCAAAATTGACAAACTGTCAAATTATATCTTTAATATTTTACTACTTAGTATTAATCTGTGCTTCATAATTGTCTTCTTCATTGCACTGAATAAACCATATTTCTCCCAAGTGCAACTCCTATATAGAAAGGTGAACAATGAGCTTGAAGATTGCGAAGTTGTATGGGTGCTTTTGTTATACAAGTCCAGTTGAAGCCTATCATATACTCAGAAAAAGCATTGAGCGCATAGGGTCACTGGGGGAGTTCAGAAGTCACGCAAAGCCAGTGAGAGGACACCAGAAATAAGGGAGGCAAGGAGTGTCACATGGGACATGGTGATTTTGTAGTTGCCGCATGTGGTATTTGGTATCACAACTGAATCAGTTACGTCTATGATCGGTTTTGATGTCGGCGTCGATCGGGTTGTGGTGGTGTCGTCAGGGCCGCCTGTGTGTGGAAAACGTTTATTAGAGATGTTCGACTGTGAAAGGGAGGTAACATTTTGTAATAAAGGTAAACAAATATTATTACCAAGTAAACAGTATATAAATCAATGGAACCGAATCACTCTCAATAGTGGTCCAAATTTTCTTTCCCGAAATAACATGTTATTGATAATCCTTAATCCGGATTAACTTTTCATAAACCTCACTAGTAAACCTCACTCATACAAAGCGTCAGTAATGGGGCTTAAAATCTGATGCTCATGTGAGATCACAGTGGAATAAGTTATGTTTGGACGCAATTTACATCTTAAATCTCACTAACGCATCCCTCTGTTTGAACTGGACTAAGACTTTCAGTTAATATAGATTCTGCTAATGGACGAAATTGCAGCTGATGGCAACATTTTGTGACCAAGATATCTGAAGACACTTACTTGAGCTGTCTCTACTGATGCACACGCCGTTTTGCACTGTGTATCCATTCTGTTGATACATAAAATGCACACTTTACAGTTTATTGATGGCTGACAAGAACATAATATTTAGTATGGTAATGTACTGAACAGTTACCAATGCAAACAATGTAATCTTAATGTCCTAGATATTAATCCTTTCGTTTTGGGGTTTAATCTGTCGAACGTCTAGTTGGCTTTCGCCGTGATATTGCTGGAACATTGCTAAAAGCGGAGGAAAACCATACTCACTCACCCACTTCAAGTTGACCTTCGCGGTTTGTGTCAGGGTTGAGGTAATCTCTATATTCATTTGTTTGATCAAATAATAAAGGCTTTTATGTTAATATGGGTTAGGGGATGGAGGTATAATTCGTGGACGAAATAATTAGATATAAAAGTACCGGAAAAATATACTTTTGCTCCCAGTCCTACCTCTGTTATGTTCTTGTTATTTTGTTTATATCAGTGTAAATTAATTTTAGAAGAGATTCAAACAGGTCGACAGAACGATTGGCGCATTCATGGTTATACCTCGGCATTATATTTACTGAATAATAATAAAAGCGTTAATTTGAAAAGTCTACATAGTCTATGGCTTACCCGTACGATCCAGATTTTGGACTCGTGATCAACAGTCACACACGTGCTATCATATACCAGAACTCCGACACTCTCGCTGTAGATGTTGTCAATGTTGGCCACGGAGATGTTGTAGGCTGTGACAATGCCCCTGGGTGCATCCACCCTTACAGGGCACCCCACTTCACTCAAGCTCCGCTCAGTACCATCTGATACCTGGGTATCCGGCTCATTAAGGGATCCACCATTGCCCACCTACAAGAACGTATAAAACATGTACAAGTATTCCCATGTGGATCGTGTCCGTGGCTGGTGGATAGGGCATCTACCCGGAGAGCGACAGGTCGGTGTTTCAATCCCAAACCATACCCAAAGGTGGTACTTGTTGTTACCCACTCGGAATTAAGGGGACAAGGACTATCCAGTATAATGTCTCAGAGCCTACAGCCATGTCAAATGGTAAAACCAGCATTAGTCCGGACTCGTACCAGAACACACGATTATTTCATAGAATAGTTAGTTTGCCATGATCTGACATATTAACTATTGTCATTGAATAAATCCGGTTTTATTTAAATTCTTTTGGGTAGTACATTACTGGAAAGGCGGCGTTAATCCAGCTGGATCACTTGCTGAAGTGCTTAATACACCTGTACTTATCTGTAACGATTGTCAAAAAGAGTAGCCTTCAGACCGCTCAACTGCTTAACTATTGACAGGGATATTCTTATTCAATGGTACTACAAACTATCATTATTATTTAATATTATATCATTATTAAAAGTTGAATACTCTGCTTAGCCTAAGTAAGCAGTTCAAGAGATATTAAGTCATTTTATTTCCTGAAAAGATGATTTTGTCAGATGGACAACATGCTAGCCTTATTTCAACCTACCGTGAATTTAGTGGCTCGACATTTGATTGCTGCATCTTCCAGAAAGGTCAGTCCAAACACTGTCAACATCTGGCAGTTCCTGGTAGCCAGGTCACAGTGACCGTTGTCCTCGACCTCGTCCAGAACAGGTGGTTGGGTCAAGTCCACTGAACAGTCAGCACTGCCAAATCCGGCACTGCAGATGCACAGTCCTGAAAATGTTGGATCAATATCATCCTTATTGTGCTCACTTACCATACTCTATTTATTAATACATGTTTATTAAGGCTGAAGGGGCCGTTCTCGGCACATTTACAACACAAATGTACCCGAGGTACGTTTCTGTATACAGAAATGTACTCTAGCCAAATTCAAAGTACAGAAACGTACCATTCCGTTTCCATTCCGCCGCAGGGCCGCAGGGTGCAATGCGCGTAACCGGTTCATTAGATATTCGTCACTTCCTGTATGCCAAACAGCGGTTAAATTCATCATGGAAGTCGGCGTTCGTCAGGAGGAACTTTTCGATTATCTTCTTAACCTAAATTCCAGTGTATCATAAAGTGACGTTCGAACGTTAGTCTAATATTCCGCGATGCACGCATGCACCCGTAATCAAGCGAACCGGAACTACAACATGAACCAGTGTCGGTTTCGGGTTGGGGAATATGGACTCGTCTACCGTTAAGGGTACCAGTTACGTTTCTGTATTTTGATTTTTGCAAGGGTATATTTCTGTATACAGAAACGTACCTGGAATACATTTCTTTAGTACCTGTGTCGACAACGACCCCTTCAGCTCAGTAAGAGGTTTGTCGTAAAATGGCTTTACATAATGACCTATAGTTGCGCCAGTTTTATCAATATTCAGTGAATTCTTGGCTTGGAGTCTACTGCAACAACAACAACAACAACAACATCGTAACGGCACCAATATTAGTGTATAGAATTAAATGATTTAAACAATAAACTCCCTTGACTTTACTTGTGGTGATATATACCTTTGTTGCAGGTGCCTCTGTTGCTACAGTCGTTGGGACAGACGTTGTTGGTGATCGCGTCAAACACAGAAGGGGCCCCTGGGTTGTTGGGGTCAGTTACCCAAAGATCGGGGTTGAGAAATACTTCCATCTCACAGGAAGTACGAACTGTGCCGATAGACATCATTTGAAAGTCAGTTGTGCCAGAGAGCTGCAAATATGGTAAATATGCACATAATGTTATGGAATTGTCATATATTCAGAACTTGATCATTGACATTATTAGCGTAAGCAAAGAAATACTCTGAATTTTAATTATTAAGGTCACCTAAACAACGAGACATATTATTATTATCATCATTATCATTAGTATTGCCAAAGATTGTTATATGTTTGGCCCTTCGATAAAGTATTATAATTATAATTAACCATAATGTCACTGATGCAGTCGTCGCGGCTGCGGTTGATGTCGACTCCTGGGACGTTGCTGCACAGCTGGACGGTCGTGGACACTGCGAACAGATTGTTGCAGAATTCAGCCGCTGTCTGGTTGTTCCACACTTCTGCTGAAGTTTGCTGGAATGACAAAATGAGATTTCAACTGAAACATGTTTGCAAAAATTGTATATTCAATATATGCGAATCAAACCTTGTTAAATAATTTAAATCACGAATAATTATATGCAGAAACTTTTACTTATGTTTATATGGGTTGAATACAGAATTGTCTTCTGGGAACAACGTAATGAACATTTAAAATATACATTGGGGATGATCCTCAATATCAAAACAAAAATATAATGAATACCCTTTTGTATCGGTGGCCGATGTTCCTGTTTCGCACCATTCGCTTCTTCCTGTTGCCGTGTATGGCACAGGGAACGTCCTTGTAATGATTTGGCCTGACCACACTGTTCATCGCCGAAAGAGAAGAACATTTCACGTTACTCCCGCCTTCGCAGAAGCAGTACTTTGGGGGCTGTTGCAACGTTGTAAGTGTTCTCACATAATCGGTGTTAAACAGGTCGTGCGTCCCTACTCTGAAAAATGGTAGCATATAATATGTGTCAAGTGCGCATATTCGACAAAAATAACTACGCTAGACAAAACGCATTCCCTTAGATCATGTGTTTCGTTCTGAACTTTCTATAGTTAAAATATCACATGCATTCAAGGAACCTTACCTCCAGGAATTGATGAACGTATTTCTGTTGCTGCTCCATGTCTCATCTCTCATGATTAAGTCATCACTCTGTGTGTTAGAGAGCTGGCCGCACAAACCACGACTCGCCAAGGTATCAAGGACCGTGCCAGTAACCCAAACATTTAAGACATTCTTCCCGGTTCCAGGAATGCTGTAGGTATGGACGGATACTAGTGCCCCGGTTGGCAAGTTTATCTAATTGAATAAAACCAAAAGACTACATATCAGTGCATTTGATAAACTAAGGCGTTCATATGTCAATGATACAGATAACTACCATGCCCAGTCTTATATTCATAACAATCTAATCTAGATACAGGAATGACAAGGAATTACTTATGTCACAATTTTCAGTTTAAAATTACATATTGACAACAACTTTTAATATCCGTCAAAGGCAGTTTGAAGTAAATAATGATTTATCTACACATGCAACTTCATTTATACCTACCTGATAAGCGTTGAATCTCTTTCTTATTTCCATGGCGTTGTCTGATTCGTCACAGCCGTGATGTTGTATTCTCCATGAGTTGGTATCGCAGCTATTTATGGAGAACACCGTCTTTCCGGATTGAACAGCTACCCCACAATTACAGTATCCAGTACCTTTAGTACATTTCCTTACATCGATCTGTATCTGTAAATGCACATTACCATGTTGATGATACACGCAATAATAAAATTGTGAGTGAAAAAGATTGATTGTTGAGGGTTGGTTTGGGATTCAGGATTGGTACTTGTATTTGTTAGATGGTGTTTGGAGTAGGGGAGTAACCATCATCAGCATCTCCCTGATCATAATGATTGGTTGGTTGGTTGGTTTGTTGTTTAACGCCGTCTCAGCAATATTCCAGCTATATGACGGCGGTCTGTAAATCATCGAGTCTGGACCAGACAATACAGTGATTGATATTGTGAGCATCGATCCACACAATTGGGATGGATGACATGCATCAACCAAGTCAGCGAGCCTGACCAGCCGATCCCGTCAGTCGCCTTTTCGTCAAGCATAGTCGCCTTTCACGGCAAGAATTGGCTGCTGAAGACCTATTCCACCCCGGATCTACACGGGTCCTGAGCATAATGAATATAGTGACCATACTTCCGTGTCAACACATCAGTCGTTGAGACACATTTGCGTCTTTTTTTTGCAACAGAAAAAATGGTAGTTTTTATATCTTTATAGAAAAAAAGAAGTTATATATTACCTCCATTAATCGACTAGCCAGTTTATATAATGTAAAACGTCCCTTCATTTGTAGTGTTAGACGTCTGCAAAAAGTCAAACATACGTTGTGTTAGAAACAATGAATTATCACACTTATATTTTCTCGATCAATTTGATACGTTTTAATTACACATATGTTTTGATTAAGTACAGTTCATTAAAAGAGCTCTGTTCCTCAAAGTGATCTTTCAGCAATGAAGATCTAAGTCTGAGAATGGGATGGTCGTAATGAGAAATGGGGTCCTGTTTGTACTTATCGACTTGTCACTACGTCTCCTTCAGTAAGTGAATTCTGTATTGTACTTTATGCTGCAGCAAGCGACTGTATGGGTATTACCTGATACAGGGTATAGCCTACAGGAGAAGAACTAGTCGTTGTTAGTTATTCATTTGAGTTGTTATGTACAATCATACAGACACTTAACAGCAAGGATATATGTTTTGCCCAGGTAGTGACAACTTGTAGACCTATAGGCATACATATCGAACTTCTCTAAAATGTTCCAAAATCTTAACGCCAATAATGAAAACTCCAACCGGAGATTGGAAGTCTGAATAACCTTGTGCACTTACTTCCTATCAAATTGCCGTACATATGGGTCATTCTGGGAGGAGCAGTATTTCCTTTTAACCAGAGCTGTATCTTTTAATACTGTAACCTGAAAGGAAAGGAAATCATAGTTACTCAACAAGACATTTGAAACTGATTTAGATAACCATGGGTGGGATTTGGCGCCACTTTTAGCAATCATCCAGCAAAATCTGGAAGGAAAACACAATCGATCTGCCTCACATGTAACCATGTCAATAGAACCAAGGTCTTCGGTGCGACGTGCGAACGCTTCAAAGGCTACCCCACCGCCCCTATTTACATAATAGATTCAACTAAAAATGTGGCAAGTGTAATCTAACGATTACAGCTCTTTGTGGTTGGTGTCTAAAAATATCTTACCTTTACAGTTCCAATAGCATGGTTGGCCCAATAGGGAAATAGCAGGCTTGCTGCAGGGGTCCTCAGAACTAGTAGAGAATCCAGTCGCCCTCTGCCATATTCTGGTGTTATAGTTCCATGTACAGTAACAGATACAGGTTGGTTCCACTGTGTATAAGGTATGGAAATGGCGCAATCTTCCTGGGAAAAGCCTTTTGTTGAGTCAGCAGTTTGTATCTCGATTCGCATGGAACAAAAAGATGGAAACGACTCGGACAGGTTTCCGCAACGGAAAGGCGCCGTGGCTCGCACTCGAACCTGTCCCGTCTCACCTTGCTTGATCGTTATTTCTTTGGTTAGGATCTGTGTAAAACAAATGTTATAAAATATGTAACCACGTGGCGTCATCACTGATATTCAGTTTGCATTAATAAAATGTGTATCACTATTTTATCTTTTACAACCTATATGATATCAGTTACATTTTAACTCACTCACTCTGTTCCGGCAGATATTTCTAGTTATTCTCTGGTGGTTCGACGTTATTAATTCATTAAGGAGGAATTTAGGTTTAGGCCCCTATTACCTTAGCTTTTAGCACTGATCAAATAAAAGCAGTAAGTGAGGTCTTACGCAGCTTTTAGCAATATTACAGCTACAGCAAAGCGGGAGACAAACGTAACAGCGTATATACATTTACAACACATGAAACTAACCAGATTAGTAAAAGTAATACTGCCCTAAACTATACCTGTGAATCATCATGGTGTCATTAGATTCCTAATGCTAAAGTTGATATCACGAAATTGGAATGATTTGAAATACCAATACAGGGTGTTATGAAAAGTAAACTATCTGCAATGGAATAAGATGGGATAAGATACGAAAAGAACTATGTCATCTTACCTCAAATCCGACATAAAAAGGATCGGAACTAGCTGTTGGACCTGGAGGCATACTGACACCGTACATAGCTCGAACCTCACATGTTATCTACAAATGGAAATTCTATTTTTAGCATCAGTTGTGCAAAGAATACTTCATTGACATGAACATACAGAGGTAAAACAAGTATGATATTGTGCCAGTAATTGACTCAATATAAAAACACACATCTAACTTCAAAAGCACCCTTTTTATAAAACTGAATCTTACTATTTGAGTTACAAATATTGTAATCTTATTTAACTTGATTTGACTAGATATTGTTACAGGAATGGTTGTCTATTTTGAGTCTGATTGGTGAACGTTCAGCTTTTTATAACACCGAGTATTGTTCATGTTGTGACTATTGTATAGTGTCTTCTGTTTCTAGACAAAGAAATCGTATTATAACCGACTATCAAAGTGTTTAGACGTCATAAAAGCTGCGTGTGACTTACATTGAAACCGATTCGTGTTATTCCCTCTGCGCTAAGCTTCGCTTGAGTGATCCCTGTGTTGTCAAAGTAGGCAGTGTCCATTAGCATAGGTTGGTGCTGGTGTACAACGACGTCGTTGACATACCACGTGGTCTGGTGGAACAGTCTTTGGTTGGACGAAGGGGGAAACGTACAGCGGAAAAGTAGGTCACTTTTGTCGATACTTGTATCAGTAGTATCAGGGACGACAGTTGGCTTTGGACTGTAGGTTGGCGAGTCTGGTATGAAAACAAGTAAGTCAAGCAATCTATCCTGAAATACATCTGAATAATTGTTGATATATCGGTGAACTCCCTTTTG